GGGGGCATTGTCAAACAGGCTGTAAAATCAAAGTCAGGTAATGGGGAAAAAGCCCATTATCTGTCTCAGTGCTGGTGGAAATGATATTGGGAAGGGTAGGAGAGAAGAGCGCTAGATAAGTACAGGTCCCGCTATAGATTTCATTAAGTCTAAGGGAGGGATCCCAATCATATGTAGCATCTTGCCTAGAAGGGGAGTAGGAAATGAATGGTTGTCTAGGGGAATTGGTGTAAATTGCTGGCTAGACAGATACGCAAGGAACTTGCACCCATTCATTGACAACCCGAAGAACTTTTATGGCAAACATGATATGTATGCCCAAAGGGGTGGGGTACATCTCTCTGGGGCTGGGGGGGTAGCACTTTGCAGACTCGATTGAGAAGGCCATTGGTGAAATGCCTATGATTTTAAACTGATAAAAAGTAGAGGTATGGGTGTGTGGTGGGAAACAAGCAGGTTGCAACACTAGGGTTGGAAACAGTAAATGTAATAAAAGGCATTCAGCATGAAGTTATAAATAAAACAATAGATCAGGTCCCCTTAAGGTTTACTATACTAATAGCAGGAGTGTAAGAAATAAGATAGATGAGCAAGATTAATTGCAAGTGCAGGAAACAGATATTATTGCTATAACAGAGACCTGGGTCAATCTGAAAGATAGAGAGATGCCCTCTGAATGTCCCCATACAAGGCTATAAATTATTCCACACTGACAGGGGCAACAGGAAAGGTGGAGTAGCGATGTATACAAGACAATTTAAATTGTTGGTTAGACAAGATTTAAATTAGAAGCGTCAGCCACTGAATCTGTTTGGTTACAGCTTCTCCCAGGGCCGAGAAAAACTAATTTTGGGTGTGATTTACAGGGCCCCAAATCTTGATAAGGAGGCAGTAAACTTTTATGGACGAAATTCGTAAGGCATCTACATACGAAAATGTTTTGCTAATGGGAGAATTTCAACTATAGACAGATTGACTGGAGCAATTTGACAGGAAATTTTGAGTCAGGTGACTTTTTTGATACGATCCAGGATTGTTTTTTTAAAACAGTTTTTTGACAGAGCCAACTGGGGGAAAATAACCTCCTTGACTTGGTTCTTGCCAGTAGGGAAACCCCTAATTAATAATCTTGGGGTAATGATGAGTTTGGGGGAAAATGATCACAAATCACTCAGTTTTAATATATCATGGAATTCCCCTAATAATGGCAATCAAGTCTCCGTCCCTGACTTCGCTTGGCTGATTTCATAGGACTGAAAAATTACTTAGTGGGCTGAACTGGAATGACCTGACTAAGGGTCAGTAGGTGGTGATGGTTGCCGATATGATGCTTTCCCAGGCATAGTTCTAGCTGCTCATTTCCAAAATTTATGTTCCAAATAGGGAAATCAGATCAAACAAAAATGATCCTAAATGGATGAACAATAGTTAAAAATATCTGATTGGTCAAAAGAGAGGCATAAAAGGGCCAAATCAAAAGAGGAGAGGGGCAATTAAGAAATCGATTATTCAGTTAAAGAGAGAAATAAAAAGGGAATTAGAAAAGCAAAAAAGAGATTATGAGGTTAAAGTTGCAAGAGAACGAAGCTAACCCAAAAGGATTCTTTCAGGTATACAGAAGTAAGATCAGGACAAGATAGGCCCACTCAAAAGTTCCCCGGGTCAGCTCACTGACAGTGATAAGGAAATGTGTAGAATTTTTAAAAACATACTTTTCCCCTCAGTTTTTACACAGGAGGATACCAGCGATATTCCAGTAATGATAAATTATGTAGAACAGACGATAATAAACTGTGCACGATTAGGGTCACAAGTGACATGGTCCTTAGGCAAATAGATAAATTTAAAAACCCAACAAATCCCCAGGCCCTGATGAACTGTAAAGCAAGGGTTCTAAAGGAATGTAAAAAGGAGCTTAGCACACCTTTTTGGGTAATCTTTTCAACATATCACTACAAAACTGGCAGGGTGCCAGATAAGTGGAAAATGGCAAATGTGATACCTATTTTCAAAACAGGTGACAGGTCCTTTTGCTTCAAACTATAGACCAATAAGCCCTAACCTCCATAGTGGGAAAATTTATGGAAAACAATAATTGCCCGAGGCAGTTCGTAGTCACCTTTAAAAGCATAAATTAATCAACGAATCCCAGCATGGTTTTACAAAGGGGCGTTCCTGCCTTAACGAATTTATTAACTTTTTTCCACTAAGGTATTTGAGGAGTAGATCATGGTAATGAATATGATATTGTGTATATGGACTTCAGTAAGGCTTTGACAGGGTCCCACATCAGAGACTATTGAGGAAAATTAAAGCACATGGAATAGGAGGAGAAATTTTTCCTGGATAGAGGCATGGTTGACAAATAGGCAGCAGAGAGTTTGCATAAATGGGGAGAAATCAGAGTGGGGAAGCGTCACGAGCGGTGTTCCACAGGGGTCGGTGTTGGGCCCCCTGCTGTTCACAATCTACATAAATGACATAGATGAGGGCATAAAGAGCGACATCGGCAAGTTTGCCGATGACACCAAAATAGGCCGTCGAATTAATTCTGACGAGGACATTCGAGCACTCCAGGAAGATTTGAATAGACTGATGCAGTGTCGGAGAAGTGGCAGATGCAGTTTAATATAGACAAATGCAAAGTTCTAAATGTTGGACAGGACAATAACCATGCCACATATAAACTAAATAATGTAGATCTTAATTTTACGGATTGCGAAAAAGATTTAGGAGTTCTGGTTAGCAGTAATCTGAAACCAAGACAACAGTGCATAAGTGTTCGCAATAAAGCTAATAGAATCCTTGGCTTCATATCAAGAAGCATAAAATAATAGGAGTCCTCAGGTTGTTCTCAACTCTATACATCCTTTGTTAGGCCTCATTTAGATTATGCTGCACAGTTTTGGTCACCGTATTACAGAATGGATATAAATTCTCTGGAAAATGTACAAAGGAGGATGACAAAGTTGATCCCATGTATCAGAAACCTTCCCTATGAGGATAAGACTAAGGGCCCTGAATCTGCACTCTCTAGAAAGACGTAGAATTAGGGGGATATGATTGAGGTGTATAAATGGAAGACAGGAATAAATAAAGGGGATGTAAATAAGTGTGCTGAAAATATCTAGCCTAGATAGGACTCGCAGCAATGGTTTTAAGTTGGAAAAATTCAGATTCAGGAAGGATATAGGAAAGTACTGGTTTGGTAATAGAGTTGTGGATGAGTGGAACAAACTCCCGAGTACAGTTATAGAGGCCAGAACGTTGTGTAGCTTTAAAAATAGGTTGGATAAATACAGGAGTGGATGTGGGTGGGTGTGAGTTGGACCTGATAGCTTGTGCTACCAGGTCGGTTGCCGTGTTCCTCCCTTAAGTCAATGTGACCTGACCTGACTAGGTTGGGTGCATTGGCTTAAGCCGGTAGGAGACTTGGACCTGCCTCACATGGGCCAGTAGGCCTTCTGCAGTGTTCCTTCGTTCTTATGTTCTTATTAGTGTCTTTAGTTTCTCACTGAAATTTGGGTGGACAAAGACGGGGTGTTCCAGAGATGGGACACAGACACAAGAGGTCACAATTGGAAGTTGAAGACTCAGATGAATCAAAGGGATGTTAGGAAGTATTTCTTCAGTCATAGAGTAGTCAGGTCGTGGAATAGCCTAGAAAGTGACGTAGTGGAGGCAGGAACCATACATAGTTTTAAGGCGAGGTATGATAAAGCTCATGGGGCAGGGAGAGAGAGGAACTAGTAGCAATCAGTGAAGAGGCGGGGCCAGGAGCTATGAATTGACCCCTGCAACCACAAATAGGTGAGTACATTACATAGCCTTTTTTTTTAGTTATACTGCATTCATTTCCTATACCTGAGTTACAGAACTATGCACATAATAAGTAGGGAAGAATATAAGTAAGAAGTACACATTAAGGACAGTCATGAAATCTTCACAACAAATATTTATCACACCTTAACATGGGTATGGTTCAAGGAGATGATTTGCTTCATTACAATCACTCACTCTATTGCTGTCTTGCCAGAGGTAAGCCTACATTACAATTCAAAAACTGTAACACATCTCCACCCATCCTTCAGAGCACAGGCACTGTGCTTCCCACCTCCAGGACTCAAGTCCGGCTAACTGGCTTCCCTGTTAGAATAAGTCACAAAAAAGTGCTAAATTCATTTGAGTTATTCAGTTGAGATGACTACAATTACCAGTATGATACAAACAGGTTCATCTGGCAAAACAAACAATTCTTGTACAAAAATTATAGGATATTCTCAAATACGTACTAATTCATCAATAAATATCGCATGTCCCAACTTTCTAAAAAATTATTCTGAAAACTAGAATTATTATACAATACTGTAACAAAAACAACTGTAGCATAACCACTTTATCATAAAAAAATCAACCCTTCATTTACATACCCCTTTATAAACATTCTCTCTCAATCCACAGCAGGATTTGAACCTACACACACTGCATCAAAGTACACGGTAATTTAGCCACACAGCCAGATGTATGGGCGCTTAGCTAAAGCTAGGCCATGGAATCATTACCTCGGAGCACCAGGCTTGTGATAAGTTACTTCATCATATCCTGCCACAAATGCAGTGAACTTCAAAAGTGATTTTGGAATGCTTAAGCATTCAACTAATTATACCACTGATGGTGTCTGCTCACTTCTAGCAAGATAACTAGAATAAATGATGATGAATGCATTAATTCTTTGGGTCATGGCTGATAAGGTGGGATAGTGCAGTGCCTGCACCCTGAAGGGGTAGGGATATCTGCAATTTGGAGGGGTATACGAACTGTAGTATCAGTGTGTCTCTGGCAAGACAGTTATAGACTGAATGATGGGAAAGTGTTTCTTCTTTTTTGGGGTCACCCTATGTTGGTGGGAGACAGTCAGTGTGTTAAAAAAATAATGATTATTGCAAAATTAATGTAGTATACAGTACAATTAATGCTGTAATATCTTTGAGAACACATACCCCCCAGGGGTTCCATTTGTTGTAGCAGCTATTAGCATGCATGATATCAACATATTCAGCATCTGAAGAGTCGATACGCTCTTGAGGAGGCACTTGGTGAAACGTAAGGCCAGCTGGATCCAAACCTGTACGATTAAATAAAAAAAATACCATGTCAGCTGTCTCTCTGTGTCGCAAAATATTCGAAAAAAAAAATTTCTTATGAAATGATCGAGAACATTTTTCCGATGGTAATGACGCCAAAAGTACAAAATTTCATGGAAAACTTATGGAATTACGCTCCTGCGAAGTTAGCGATCTCGGCAATATATACACATTGGCGATTTGCCCACTTTGAGCCCTATTTTCGGCCAATTCCATTGTTCCAGTCAACCAAACTCATAGCTATTTCTTTAGAACTCCATTTGTTCTATCGATTGAGTACAAGAAACCACCTATTTACCAATTTCAACTACCCAATAAAGCGGTCAGAAATTGGCAAGTTCGCCAATTTCATGTAAATTAAAAAAGATGCCAATTTCAAAATAGGGTCCAGAATAAACAATGCAGACATTCCTGGCACTAAAATAACATTTTCTCTGTTCATTAGTCATGTCTCCAGGTCCCTCTGGCTTTCTATTTTGAATTTTTATTCACACAAAAAATAGAAGATTTACTGTTATGCAGACTACTGCATTATTGTAATAATTGTATAAATAATGTCAACCCATTCATGACTGCGTATTAGAATGGCTAGTTTGACACTTATTGGATGGTGACGTCACATTTTGATTGAAACCAATCAAAATCATCTCTATTTCTGTAATATGTCTTCCATTCTATCACACAAGACCAAGAAAGCAAGAACACAACCATAAATACTATATGAAAATACACCTCAAAGTCAGCATTTTAATCCAAAAACACAGTCAGAGTTTTTTTTTTTCTCTTTATGCACCGAGTGCTGTAGGATTTTTTTATACTGTGCACACTGACCACACAGACCAGTTCTCTCACATGTGAGCCTACCAGCTCTCACATGTGAAGCCACCAGAATTTTGGCGTACTAATACGTCACCAACACTGGCTCGTAAGACGTATATATATGACACAGACAGTCAAAAGGGTTAAGTGACTAGCATTCACTCAGGTCACACATAAATAGGAACTGCTGAACAGAGTTAAGAGATTAGAGGAAATGGCAAGAGTACAGCAACATTGTTATTATACTAGACCTGTTCAGGAGAAAATAAAGTAAAACTGCCAAAAAGTTAAAAATAAGAACAGACGAAAAAAAAAATTATACAGTGGAGCCCCAAATATCGGTTGTAATCCATTCCAGGTCAGCCTAAATTCGAAATGGCCTAAATTCGAAGCAATATTTCCCATAAGAATTAATATCCTGGCTTTAAGTGAAATAAAGCTGAAGGGGGTGGGAGAGTTTCAGTGGAGAGGAATAAATGGGATTAGGTCAGGGGTTTCAAATAGAGTTAGAGCTAAAGAAGGAGTAGCAATAATGTTGAAGGATAAGTTATGGCAGGAAAAAAGGGACTCTGAATGTATTAATTCAAGGATTATGTGTAGTAAAATAAAGGTTGGATGTGAAAAGTGGGTTATAGTAACTGAATATGCACCCAGGAGTAGAGAGAGACGTGTAAGAGGAGAGAGAGATTTTTGGGAAATGTTGAGTGAATGCGTGGGGAGTTTTGAACCAAGGTGAGAGTAATGGTGGTTGGGGATTTTCAATGCTAAAGTGGGCAAAAATGTTGTGAGGGAGTAAGTAGGAAAATTTGGCGTGCCATGGGTAAATGTAAATGGGGAGGCCTTTTTTTTTTTTTTTTTTTTTTTTTTTTTTTTTTTTTTTTTTTTTTTTTTTTTTTTTTTTTTTTTTTTTTTTTTTTTTTTTTTTTTTTTTTTTTTTTTTTTTTTTTTTTTTTTTTTTTTTTTTTTTTTTTTTTTTTTTTTTTTTTTTTTTTTTTTTTTTTTTTTTATTTTTTTTTTTTTTTTTTTTGTTTTTTTATTTTTTTTTTTTTTTTTGTTTTTTTTTTTTTTTTTTTTTTTTTTTTTTTTTTTTTTTTTTTTTGTTTTTTTTTTTTTTTTTTTTTTTTTTTTTTTTAAAAATTTTTTTTTTTTTTTTTTTTTTTTTTTTTTTTTTTAAAAAATTAATTAAAATAAAATTGAGCTAAGTGTAGAAAAGAGGTTTGGTAATAAATAAGACATATTATATGAAGAGGCGGATAAAATAAAGATACAAGGTAATATATAGCCCTTAATGAAAGTAATTTGTTAGCTTATAGCATTTGGGTGATAAAAGGTTGATGGGTAGGCTCAGGATGTACAGTTTATAGAGGGCAACTGATATATTGGATCATTATTTAGTTGTAGTTACGTTAGAGTAAGAGGTAGATGGGAAAAGAGGAAAATTGTAACAACAAGTAAGAGGGGGAGGTGAAAGGGAATAAACAAGGGAGGAGGAAGTTCGGGTGAGATAATAAGCATCTATTGGCAGAAATATGGGCAGTGCAAGAATGAGTAATGAGGGGGGAGGGTTGAAGAGGTTGGAAAGTTATTTAAAAATGCCGTATTAGAATGAGGGACAGAAAAGTCTGTGGTATAGGAGGGTGGTGCAGTTGGAAAGAGGAGTGATTGTGGAATGGATGAAGTACAGGGTGTGATAAAAGAGAAAAAGTTAGCTTATGCAGAGATTTTTAACAAAGCAGAATGCTATAAAGAAGAGTCGAAGTAATATGGAGAGTAAAAGAAAAGTGAAGAGAGTGGGTGAGAGAGTGCAAAAGGAGAGCAGATGCATAGAGGGGAGAGGCACTTATCAAGAAATTTAATGAAAATTAAGAAAAAATTTTGGATTGAGTAAACAAGTTTACGAATAGCTAGGGAACAATGGCTTTGTCAGTTAAAAACAGAGTAGGGTAGTTTAGTAGATGGGGAGATAGAGGTTTTGGGTAGATGCGAAATATTTGAAGAACTTATAAATGTCTACGTAAGAAAGGGAGTGGTAATTCATGCACTGCCAGGGAGGTATACCATCTTTTAGAGTGAAGAAGAACCAGGATGCGAGTGTGGGGGAGGTGCGTGAGGCATTATGTAGAAAGAAAAAGGTAAAGCATCTGGAACTGATGGGATCATGACAGAAATGTTAAAAGCAAGGGGGGATATAGTGTTGTTTAATAAATGTATGAAAGAGGGGAAGGTACCTAGGGATTGGCAGAGAGCATGTATAGTCCCTTTATATAAAGGAAGGGGACAAAAGAGAATTGTAAAAATTATAGAGGAATAAGTTTACTGAGTACTACCAGGAAAAGTGAACGGTAGGGTTATAATTGAAAGAATTAGAGGTAAGACAGAATGTAGGACTGCGGATAAGCAAGGAGGTTTCAGAGTGGGTAGGGGATGTGTAAGATCAATGTTTTACATTGAAGCATGTATGTGGGAACAGTAGTTTAGTATATAGGAAGTTCTTATTGCGTATTTATGGATTTAGAACAGGCATATGGATAGAGTGGATAGGGATCAATGTGGCAAGCTGTTGCAAGAATATGGAATAGGTGGTAAGTTACTAAAAGGTGTAAAGAGTTTTTATGAGGATAGTGAAGCTCAGGTTAGGGTGTGTAGAAGAGAGGGAGAATACTTCCTGGTAAAAGTAGGTCTTAGACAGGGATGTGTAATGTCACCATGGTTGTTTAATATATTTATAGATGGGGTTGTAAAAGAAGTAAATGCTAGGGTGTTCGGGAGAGGGATGGGATTAAATTATGGGGAATCAAATACAAAATGGAAATTGACACAGTTGCTTTTTGCTGATGATACTGTGCTTATGGGAGATTCTAAAGAAAAATTGCAAAGGTTAGTGGATGAGTTTGGGTGTGTGTGTAAAGGTAGAAAGTTGAAAGTGAACATAGAAAAGAGTAAGGTGATGAGGGTATCAAATGATTTAGATAAAGAAAAATTGGACATCAAATTGGGGAGGAGGAGCATGGAAGAAGTGAATGTTTTCAGATACTTGGGAGTTGACGTGTCGGCAGATGGATTTATGAAGGATTAGGTTAATCATAGAATTGATGAGGGAAAAAAAGTGAGTGGTGCTTTGAGGTATATGTGGAGACAAAAAACGTTATCTATGGAGGCAAAGAAGGAAATATATGAAAGTATAGTGGTACCAACACTCTTATATGGGTGTGAAGCTTAGGTTGTAAATGCAGCAGCGAGGAGGCGGTTGGAGGCAGTGGAGATGTCCTGTCTAAGGGCAATGTGTGGTGCAAATATTATGCAGAAAATTCAGAGTGTGGAAATTAGGAGAAGGTGTGGAGTTAATAAAAGTAATAGTCAGAGGGCTGAAGAGGGGTTGTTGAGGTGGCTTGGTCATTTAGAGAATGGATCAAAGTAGAATGACATGGAGAGCGTTTAAATCTGTAGGGGAAGGAAGGCAGGGTAGGGATCATCCTCGAAAAGGTTGGAAGGAAGGGGTAAGGGAGGTTTTGTGGGTGAGGGGCTTGGACTTACAGCAGGCATGCGTGAGCGTGTTCGATAGGAGTGAATGGAGACGAATGGTATTTGGTACCTGATGATCTGTTTGAGTGTGAGCAGGGTAATATTTAGCGAAGGGATTCAGGGAAACCGGTTATTTTTATATAGCCAGACTCGAGTCCTGGAAATGGGAAGTACAGTGCCTCTACTCTAAAGGAGGGGTTTCGGGATATTGGCAGTTTGGAGGGATATGTTGTGTATCTTTATACGTATATGCTTCTAAACTGTTGTGTTCTGGGCACCTCTGCAAAAACAGTGATTATGTGTGAGTGAGGTGAAAGTGTTGAATGATAATGAAAGTACTTTCTTTCTGGGGATTTTCTTTCTTTTTGGGTCACCCTGCCTTGGTGGGAGACGGCCAACTTGTTAAAAAAAAATAATATATTATATATATATATATATATATATATATATATATATATATATATATATATATATAATATATATATATATATAGGTAGTAGGTTGGTAGACAGCAACCGCCCAGGGAGGTACTACCGTCCTGCCAAGTGAGTGTAAAACGAAAGCCTGTAATTGTTTTACATGATGGTAGGATTGCTGGTGTCCTTTTTTCTGTCTCATGAACATGCAAGATTTCAGGTAC